CACAGACAACATGACTGTCTAAGTAAAACCCCAAGGAATCTATAAAAGCTCCTAGAACTAATAAGTCAGCTTAACCAGGTGGCAGGATACAAAGTTGACACATAAAGATCAATTGTATTTCTATACACCAGCACCAAATAACTGGAAGCCAAAACTAAAAAGTAAAAACACAACACCATTTACAACAGCTATAATAATAAATGAAATACATAGAAATCTGACAAAACAGGTACAGGATTGGGGCTCCTGGGTGGCTCAGTGGTTAAGCATCTGCCTTTGGCTCTGGTCATGATCTTAGTGTCCTGGGATGGAGCCAAGCATGGGGCTCCCTGCTCAGCGGGGAGTCTGCTTCCTCCTCTGCCCCTCCCCCTGCTTGTGCTCTCTCTCTGTCTCTCAAACAAATAAATAAAATCTTTTTTTAAAAGTTAAAAAAAAATTCCACTCATAGAATGGGAGAAGATATCAGCAAATTACATTTTCAGCAAATGATTTGTACACAACATATATAAAGAACTCCTAGAGCTCAGCAATGACATCACAAGAAAGAAATCTCCAGATAAATATCCCTTATAAATATACATACAAAACTCTTCAACAAAATATGAGCAAACTTAATCCAGCAGCATTTTTCAAAGGATTATGCACTATGACTAAGAGGGGATTTATTCTAGGAATGCAAGTGTAATTCAACAGACAAAACTCAATCAATATAATACATCACATTACTAGAACAGAGGGAGAAAGAATCCCATTTCCCCAGAGGGGAAAACCCCATTTAATCATCTCAACATGGGCCACCTGGGTGGCTCAGTCGTTAAGCGTCCGCCTATGGCTCAGGTCATGATCCCAGGGTCCTGGGATCGAGTCCCACATCAGGCTCCCTGCTCAGCAGGAGACCTGCTTCTTCCTCTCCCACTCCCCCTGCTTGTGTTCCTGCTCAAATAAATAAATAAAATCTTTAAAAAAATAAAAATAAAATCTTTAAAAAAAATCATCTCAACAGATGCAGAAAAAGCATTTGATGAAATCCAATACCTTTCTATGACAAAAAGACTCAATAAGCTGTGACTAGAAAGAAACTTAAAAAAAAAAGATAGAAACTTCCTCAACATGATAAAGGACATCTATCAAAAACCCACAGCAAACATTACACTCAATAGTGAGAGACTGAAGGCTTTTCTCCCAAGATCAAGAAAAAGACCAGGATACCCACTTCTGCTGCTTCTCTTCATCATGTGCTGGAAGTTCTAGCTAGAACAACTAGGCAAGAAAAAGAAATAAAATGTATCCAAAATTGGAAAGGAAAAAGTAAACTATTTCTATTTGCAGATGACATGATCTAATGCATAGAAAATCCAACAAAACAAAAGCCTATTACAGCTAATAAATAAATTCAGCAAAGTTGCAGGATATGAGATCATCAAATAAAACTCAGTTATATTTCTATACACTAGTAATGAACAATCCAAAGATGAAATTAAGAAAATAATTCATTTTGTAACAGCATCAAAAAGAACAAAATACTTAGAGGGCAACCTTCTAGGGTCTCCTCCCTCTTCCAGAAACTTGTACTACCACTCAATAAATTTTACTATCACTCAATAAACTTTTTTTGCTGCCCACCAAACAAAAAAGGGGGGAATAAAATACTTAGAAATAAATTTCAGCAGGGTGCCTGGGTGGCACAGCTGGTTGAGAGTCCGACTCCGGCTTTCGAGTCAGGTCATGATCTCAGGGTTGTGAGATTGAGTCCCATGTTGGGCTCCACACTCAGCTCAGAGTCTGCTTGGGATTCTTTCTCCCTCTCCCTCTGCCCCTCCCACTTGTGCTCTCTCTCTCTCAAATAAATAAATCTTAAAAAAAAAAAGAAGGTAAAAGATGTGTACACCGAAAGCTATAAAACATTGCTGGGGGAGGGCACCTGGGTGGCTCAGTTGTTAAGTGTCTGCCTTCGGCTCAGGTCATGGTCCCGATCCCATGGATCGGGCCCCGCATTGGGCTCCCTGCTCCACAGGAAGCCTGCTTCTCCCTCTCCTACTCCCCCTGCTTGTGTACCGTCTCTCACTGTGTCTCTCTCTGTCAAATCAATAAATAAAATCTTAAAAAAAAACATTGCTGGGGGAGATTAAAGAAGACAATATTCATGGCTTGGAAGACTTCATATTGTTAAGATGGTCTTTCTCACCAAACTGATCTATAGATTTGATATGCTCCCTATCAAAACCCCATTGGCTTCTTCTTCTTCTTTCTTTCTTTTTTAGATTTTTTTAAAAGATTTTATTTATTTATTCATAAGAGCGCGCGCGCGCGCGCGCGCGCGCGAGAGAGAGAGAGAGAGAGAGAGAGAGAGAGAGAGAGAGAGAGAGGCAGAGGGAGAAGCAGGCTTCCTGTGGAGCAGGGAGCCCAATGTGGGACTCGATCCCAGCCGAAGGCAGATGCTTAACCATCTGAGCCACCCAGGTGCCCTTCTTTCTTTTTTTAAAGAAATGGAAAAGCCACTTGGCACCTGGGTGGCTCAGTCATTAAGCGTCTGCCTTCGGCTCGGGTCGTGATCCCAGGGTACTGAAATCGAGCCCCGCATCAGGCTCTCTGCTCAGCGGGAAGCCTGCTTCTCCCTCCCCCACTCCCCCTGCTTGTGCTCCCTCTCTCGCTGTCTCTCTCTCTGTCAAATAAATAAATAAAATCTTAAAAAAAAAAAAGAGGGATGCCTGGGTGGCTCAGATGGTTAGGCGTCTGCCTTTGGCTCAGGTCATGGTCCCAGGGTCCTGGGGTCGAGTCCCACATCGGGCTCCCTGCTCGGCGGGAAGCCTGCTTCTCCCTCTGCTGGCCACTCTCCCTGCTTATACTCTCCCCCTCTCTCTCTCTGGCAAATAAATAAATAAAATCTTAAAAAAAAAAAAAAGAAATGGAAAAGCCAATCCTAAATTCATATGGAAGTGTATGTAAGGAACCACAGTTAACTAAAATGATCTTGAAAAAGAAAAACAAGTTGTAGGACTCACAGCTCCTGATTTCAAAACTTACTACAAAGCTACAGGAATCAAAACAGTATGGTACTGGCATAAGGTTAGACATAAATCAGTGGAATAGAGTTTAGAATTAAGACATCGACCTGTACATTTAAAATCAATGGATTTTTTTAAAAGATTTTATTTATTTGACAGAGAGAGACACAGCGAGAGAGGGAACACAAGCAGGGGGATTGGGGGGGGGAGAAGCAGGCTTCCTGAGGAGCAGGGAGCCCGATGTGGGGCTCGATCCCAGGACCTGGGATCATGACTTGAGCTGAGGGCAGACGCCTAACGACTGAGCCACCCAGGCGCCCCTCAGTGGATTTTTTTTTTAAGATTTTATTTACTTATTTGACAGAGAGAGACACAGCGAGAGAGGGAACACAAGCAGAGGGAGGGGCAGAGGGAGAAGCAGACTCCCCGCTGAGCAGGGAGCCTGATGCAGGGCTCGACCCCAGGATGCTGGGACCATGACCTGAGCTGAAGGCAGATGCTTAACGACTGAGCCACCAGGCGCCCCCAAATCAATTGATTTTCAACAAGGGTGTCAAGAGTATTCAATGAGAGAAGAGTTTCTTCCACACAGTGTTGGGACAACTCGGTATCCACACGCAAAACAATGAAATCAAACCTTGCCTCACACTACATACAAAAACTAACTCAAAATGGATCAAAAACCTAAATATATGATCTAAAACTGAAGAAATCTTAGAAGAAAATATAGGAGCAAATCTTCATGACCTTGAATTTGGCAATGTTTTCTTAAACATAACACCAAAAGCACAAACAAAACAAGTGATAATTGGATTTCATAAAATTAAAATCTTTTGTGCATCAAAGGACACTACCAAGAGAGTGAAAAGAAAACTCACAGAATGGGAGAGGATATTTACAAATCACATATCTGATAAGCGTCAATTATTCGGGGGCGCCTGGGTGGCTCAGTCCGTTAAGCACAGAGGGACCCCAGCGCCTCAGAGGTGGGCTCGGGAGGGGAGAGGCGCGGGGGTGGAGGCCTGGACGCTGGGGGAGGCCACCCCAAGCCTCAGACTCCTTGGTGGAGGCGGGCTGCAGGCAGAGCTGGATCTCAGCCTCCGGGCGCCCTTCTTTTGAACTTCCCGAGGCTTGCAGAGGTCTGAGCCTGCATGTGGGCTTGGGATGGACAGGAGGTGGAGATGCAGACCGACCGGAGGGAAAAAGGCGGGCAGCCACGTTACTCCTGCTTAATCAATACGGGATTAAGTCAGAAACTAGTACTAATGAAATCCTTAAACATAATTACGAATCTAGTAAATGAAGTTATAAACTAGTAGTTCTTGTGTTAAACTTTACATTCATTTTTAAAAAGATTTTATTTTTTTAAGTTTATATTACTTCATTCGTTTAAGTAATCTTTACACCCAATGTGGGGTTCAAACTCACGACCCCAAGATCAAGAATCGAATGCCCTACCGGCTGAGCCAGCCAGGTGCCCCAAACTTTACATTCATTTAAAAATAATTCGTAGACTTTTCTTAAAGAGCAGTTTTAGGTTTACAGAAAAACTGAGCGGCAAATACAGACAAGAGGCACACAGGCCCAGCCTCCCTTATTCCCACCGCTCGCCCAGCGTCTCCGAGGCTCTGGGTCGCTTCCCCCTCGCCCAGCCTCCGCCCTCCGCCCTCGCGCGTCTCCCCTCCCGAGCCCGCCTCGGCGCCTAGAGCGGAAAGGGCCCTGCGGATGGTTTCGCCCAGCCCGGCCCCCGCCGCGCCTCCGAAGAGCCTGCGGGCAAGGCTCGGAGGCTTTGCACATGCTGTTCCGGTCGCAGGCTCGCCCGGAGGTCCCTCCGCACCCCGGGGGGCCCCCTCCCCGACCCCCGCCGGCCCGTGCGTCCGTGCCCCGGGCGCAGCGCTCCCCTCCCTCCCCAGCCAGCCAAGGGGCGCCGACGCGGCGGTGGGGGCGGGCGGCCAGCCGGGGCGACAGCTGGGTGGGCGGCTCTGACCTTCCGCTTCGATCGATGCCGCGCTCCCGGGCGCTATAAAGGGGCCGCGCCGGGCTCGGGCGGCGGCAGCGGCGCTCAGCTCCCCCGGCGCGCCCACCATGGCCATCCCGCCCCTGCTGCTGCTGCTGCTGCCGCTGCTGCTCCGGGGGTCGGCCGCGCCCCCCGCACCCCCCAGGTGAGCCCGCGGCCCCTCGGGACCCACGCCCGCGCCTCGGACGCCCACCTCCCCGCCCCCGCCCCCTGGCCCATCAATGCGTGCGCCCGCCCCGCGCCTGGCCCTGAAACGGCCCACGGCCCCGCCATCCCCCACCCCCAGGGCCCCGCGGCACTCGGATGGGACGTTCACCAGCGAGCTCAGCCGCCTGCGGGACAGCGCGCGGCTGCAGCGGCTGCTCCAGGGCCTGGTGGGGAAGCGCAGGTGAGGGGCAGCGGGCGCTAGCCCTGGGAGGCGGGGAACGGCGGCGGGGGGGGGCGCCCCCCACCGCCAGGACTAATTCTGACTTGGGGCGGGGGGCAGCGAGCAGGATACGGAGAACAGCACGAGCCGGACCACGCCGGCGGAGGGCCGCCTCTGCCTGCACTGGCCCGGCATGTCCACCCTGCAAGCCTGGTGAGCACCACCGCCGTCCCCGCCCACGAGCTCTGTTCCCGCGGGGCGCCCTGCGTCTGTGGCAGGAACCGGTCGCGGCAGCGGGCCAGGGGTGTGGGAAAGTGAAACAGCGCCGGTGACCAGAGGAGGCCATTTCCCCCGGTGGGCAGCAGTCTCCAGCCCCTAACCTGGCTGTCTCCACAGGATGCCACTGAGGAACCCCCTGGATCAGGCCTGGTCTCCCCAGCTGCCTCCTGGATCTGGGTCTGGGGCCACGTTTTCAGAGCCAGCCGTCCCTGCTGCAGAGGTGACACAGAAGACATCCTGAGGAAGAAGGAACCTCCCCGCCACCCCAAGGGGAGCAGAGTGGAGCCTGGGCAGGGGAGGGGGTGGGGGAGAGGAGGAGGGGTGGCACTTGTCACCAATAAAGGAGGAATTCAGACACCAGCCGCGTGAGCTCACTCTGCGCCATCTCCCAGGGCAGGGCTGTCAAGAATGCAGGGGGGCCCTGACCACAGCTACTAACAATGGCCACACCCAGCTGCCCTTTAAACCTGGGAAGCCAGTGGGGCGCCTCACCTCCCTTATCGCTCCTGTCCCGCTGACTGAGCTCCCCGGAGACCCATCTGCATCCCTGTCATCGGCTCAGCAAACACTCAGGGGCTCTGGGTGGGCAGGTGGGGGGCACGGGACGTCAGCCCTCGAGGCCATGTGTCAGCGTGTGGGGCAGGTGGGGAGGGAGTTGGGGGGCAGGAAGGCTCGGGCAGGAAGCGGTGCCGGGCTCGCTGTCTGCCGGGGCCCGGGCGTCTGCTCCAGAGAGGACTTTTGCAAGCTAGTTGGGGCTCCTCCCCAGGCTCTGTGGTCTCACATGGCTTGACCCGTCTGAGCCCGTGCAGTGGGGACGGTGATGGCACCCCAGGAGGAGCTGGGGCCTCTGGAAGCCATGGAGGCACCACCCGCACGGGGGGGACGAGGCCAGGAGCCTGGGGGGTGTGCAGCCACCAGGCGAAGGCCTAGAGAGCAGAAGGGCCACAGCCCCCACCGTCACAACAGACCCTCCCTGCTGTCCCCATCCAGCTGGGGGGGGGGCTTGGGGGTAGGGCAGTCGGGGGCCTGGGCCGAGGAGCCTTGCCAGGAACCCCTTTGTCAAACATCAGAACCCATGGGGACCCGGGTTCCCCCCCAGGAGTTCCCAGCACCCCACCCCCTCGGAGGAAACGGGCTTGTTTCCAGGACAGGCAGGGGTGACCCTAGGACACAAACAGCCTTTTCCTTCCAGACCTAGACGGTTGGTGTGGGGAGAGGAGGTGGACCTGGAGGGCACACCTGGAGGGCACACCTGGGGCCTGAACCTTGCTCCAAGATGATTCTGGCAGAAGAGGCCAGCAGAGGGGCAGCCGGGGTTGGGAGGTAGGGGTGGGTACAGCCAACACAGAAGCCAGGGCTGAGCCCCTGCCCCAGTCCCTACCACCCCCTAGCCCCTAACCCCCTGCCCCAGCTTCTGCCCACCCAACCATGCCCCCCAGCCACCTCCCCAGGCCCACTCAGGTGCCCTGAGTGCCTTCTGTGTCATGCCTCGGTGTCTGAGAGCTGAGCCCCGTTGGCCCCCGCATGTGGCCCAGCTCTGGTGGGAAACTACCGGATCTCCCCCTCCCGGCAGCAGGCTAGGCCTGGCCAGGCGGCCGGCGGGAACCCCCTTGGTGGAGGCCGGTGGCTTGGAAAGGATCATAATGTGGGGCGGTGCCTGGCAGGGGCGAAGGTCGCCCAGGCTGAGACGCCACCACCAGCGCCACCACCAGCTGCTCAGAGGGTCCACCTGGCTGACGGCCGCAGAGATGGGGGCTTGGGCCCTGCTGCTGCCACTGCTCATGGCCACGGCCCAGGCCCAGGGTACCTATGGGGCAGGGGCAGTTTGGCTGGGCCCCAGGCAGGCAGGCAGGCGCCAGGAGGGCACTGACCCTTCCTCTCCAACTTTCCAGTCTGCTCTGTGAACAACACCATCTTCGAAGTCCAGGAGAACACGAATCAGAGCGGGCCCCTGGCTGACATCTACGTCCCCGCGGGCCAGCAGGTGACCCTCGGACAGTCGTCCACCCCCTACGCGTTCCGGATCCAGGGGACTCAGCTGTTTCTCAACGTGACTCCTGACTATGAGGTGCAGATGGCAGGCCTGAGCGGGGCACCCCCATGGGGGCCGCTGGGTGGCTCACCCTCCATAGGACCTGTGCGTCCACCCACACCCCTCCCCGGACAAGGGCATTCCAGGGGTCTGAGGCTTCTGTGCCCCCCCCCCAGGAAACGACTGACCCCTCTTGGGCCCCAAGGCAGGTAGGGCCGTTGGGGGATGGAGCTGCCTGGGCCCCCAGTGCTCTCTGGACTTAGCACGGATGCTGGGGACCCTCTCTGCCTGTCTCCTCACTTGTGACATGGGGCCAGCATGCTGTGGTCAACTGGGCAGGTGATCCCCGACACCTGTCTGCCCCCTCAGGAGAACACGATGCTGCAGGCGCACCTGGAGTGCAGAAGTGGTGACACCGTGGTGAGTACCCCCAAATTCCCCGGCCCCCTTGTGGCCTCCCTCAACCTGTGACATCAACACACTCCAGGCTCGGACCTCTGCACTCTGCTCAGCCTGGTCCGGGGCCACTCCCCGGTGACCTCACCCTGCGGTATGTTGGCGTCCACACTTCCTCCAGCCCAGACTCTGCCCGAGATGCAGACCCCAGCAGAGACCCCCCCAACACGGAAGGCACCTCACCCTGCCAGTTCCCTCCCCCCATTCTCTCCCCGACGTCTCTCTGTCGACAAGCAAGTCTGTGGACTCTGCCTCAAGCTGGACTCCAAACCAACCAGAGCCTTGGCCACCAGCATCTCCTTTCTGGAAGCTCCCAACTGGAAACTGGTCTGCTTGCTCCTCTCTTGGCCTTGGCCAGTCCGCTCTCAGTGTGGCAGAACGCTCTGATCAAGCACGTGGACACCTCTGGCTGCTTTCTCACTCAGAGTCGAGGCCAAATGGATCGTGTGGTGGGCAAGGCTGGGTGCATGGACCCCGACCCCACTCCGGCCGGCCTTGAGCCCTCTCCCCCGATGTGCACCTGCCTCCCTCTCTCCCGGTCTCGTGTCTTCACTCCAAGATCACCTTCTCAGAGAGGCACTGGCTGCTCTGTTCTAAGCTGCAAGCCCAGCCCCCACGCACCTGCCATCTAGGCAGGAGCCACTAACCATGGTCTCCCGGGCTCGGAGCCCCTGGGTGCCCCCACCCAGACACCACAGCACACCACCCACAGATATCTCAGGATGAGTCTCTAAAAGATAAGAACCCTTCTTAAACATAAACATAATATTTTTGCCGCGTCAGCATCACATGACACCTGATGTCCGCCCTTTCCCACAGTCACAGAGACCCCAGCAAAGCCCACCTATTGAGACTGGACGCTACTTAGGCGCCCTCCTCCCCCCTCCCTCCCTCCCCCCTCTCCGCCTCCCCCCTCCCTTCTTCTTTTCTTCCTTCTTTCCTTTCTAGTTTGGTTGTTTATTTAAGTCATCTCTACCCCCAATATGGGGCTTGAACGCACAACCCGAAATCAAGAGTCACTCTCTCCTCCCACTGAGGCAGCCAGGCTCCCCTCTTAAGGCTCTTTCAATCTATGGGTTCTCCTTTCTTCCTTTTCTTTGAGAATTATTTCTGAAGCAATTCAAGTGTTTTACCACTGTTCTCATTCGGGATTTTCCCGGCGCCCCCACCCCGCCCAGCACCTGTGCTCTTTCCCTCCAGGGCACGGGCCACCGTGTGTGCTGCAGGGTTGCTGTCTGGTCTGTGTGTAGTCCCTGCAGAGCGGGGGCCCTGAGCAGACGGCTTTGTCTCGTGCACTGTACCCCAGGCCACCAGAGCACACCGCTGCTGACTCCACCCTGTCCCCACAGGTGACCCAGCTGAGGGTGCTGGTGTTCGTGCTGGACATCAATGACAACGCGCCCCAGTTCCCCTTTGAAAATAAGGCGAAGAATATATCGGAGGTGAGTGAGGGGCCTGGGGTGAGGGGCCAGCGGCTTGGCCTCAGGGGTCCGTCCATGGGCTCAAGGGTGTAGCCAGAACACTCCCCCTGCATCCCCCAGGACACTAAAGTGAATACCATTGTCATCCCTGAGACGGAACTGGAGGCCCAGGATCTCGACAAGGATGACATCTTGTTCTATGCCCTCCAGGAGGTGACCCCGGTCAGTGTTGGCCCCCCACCCCTACACCAACTCCAAACCCCCCCTTTGAGCATCCCCCCTCCCTGTGTCCTCCCAGGGTCCCAGGCTGAGTCCCGCCCTCTGCCTCCCCAGGGCGCCAGTAACTTCTTCTCCTTGGTGGGTACCAACCTCCCTGCCCTGCGGCTGGACCAGCCACTGGACTTCTACTCGTGGCAGAAAATGACCTTCCAGCTGCTGGTGCGGGTGAGCAGGCCCGGATGCTCAGGTCCCCGCCCGAGCTGCCCCAGCCCCGGGCCCCCAGGCCTGATCCAGCCGGGCTCTGCTGTTGCAGGACACACAGGAGGAGAATGCAGAGCCCAGCCACAGGGCCGCGGCCACCTTGGACCTGCATGTGTGGCCTGCTGACCTTCGCCCCCCCTGGTTCTTGCCCTGTGGCTATTCAGACCCTTACGTCTGCATCAACGCTGAGTACCACGGGGCTGTCCCCCTGGGGCACAAACTGGTACTGGGGGCAGAGAGGGGCAGGATGGGCATCGGGGTGGGGCCTGGGGGCCATGGGGCCAAATTTGGTTGCGATTTTCATGTGAACGTTCCTCCGAAAGCCAATCCCACCCAACCTCGTGGTGGAGAGAGGTGAGCAAACCCTGTGAACACAGAGGGAGGTGCACAGGTGCGGCGGTCCTGGGGCAGAGCCAGGCAGCGCCCGGGAACCCAGTGAAGTGGGCTGGGAGGGTGGCGGCGTGGAGGGGCCACGGCGCTGCTCCAGGGGCAGCTGCGTCTCTGGCCAGCTGACGTCCCTGCTCCGGCCTGAGAGGCCCAGGGAGGCACCGGAGGACAGCGGGGCCTGGGCACGGGCTCCAGGGCCTCCCGCCCTACGGACAGGCCCGAGTCCCTGCCCCGTGTGTGCTGGCTCTTGAAACTCCTGTCATTCAGATCAATCAGGAGATGCCTTTGAGCAAACTGACTCAGTATCGCAAGGAGCGCGGTGGGCAGTTTCCCCTTGAGGGGAGCCGGAGGGTGCGCTGGGGCCGTCACAGCAGCCCCACGCCGTCCCGTGTCCTTGCCCCTGCAGCCAGCCCCCCTCGTCCTACGCCCCGGGCCCGTCCGCGCCGTGGATGGGGATCAGGGCATCAGCCAGCGCATCCTCTACAGCATTACGCAGGGTAAGTGCGGGCCAGACCCCTGCTTCTCTCCCCATCCTGCGCCCCATCCCCACCTTGGGCTGAGGACACCCCAGGGCACTTGCCATATGGGCACAGCCAGCTGGGACCTTAGCCCTCAGGCCCCTGGAGGGGGCGAGAGGCCAAGCCTTCCCACCAACCTCGCAGGACAAGATGGCACGTTTGCCATCGACGCTGACTCGGGCAACCTCACCATGACCAGAAGTGTCCCCAGCCCAAAGACCTTCACTCTGCTGGTCAAGGTGGGTGCCCTGGCCAGGCCTCCATGGCGTTCCTGAGCCTCAGGCTGCAGGACTTGTCCTTCAAGGACCCGCTGGTCGCTGAGGCCTCCCCTACCCCCAGGGTGAGCAGGCAGACCGTGCCCGCTACTCGGTGACCCGGGTCACGATCGAGGCCCGAAATGCCTTTGGGAGCCTGCCCTACTTCCCCAAGAGCCGGTACTATGGCCGGGTGGCGCGCGGCTCTGGAGCAGGTGTGGAGGTCAAAGACGCAACCGCCCCCTCCCTGCCTCTGAGGATCTGGGCCCAGGACCCTGACTTTCCGGTAGGCACCAGCCCGGCTGCGGGGGGGGTTGGGGGGGGTCACGGGGGCAGCCTGGACCCAGGACTCACTGGGCAGTGTCCAGGACATCAACTCTGCCATCACATATCGCATCACCAATAACACCAACTTCCGGATGGATGGCGAGACCATGCTGACCACTGTCCTGCTGGCCGATGAGACAGTCTTCTATGCAGAGGTAAGGGCAGGGGGGCATCTCCAAGGGGCAGGGGTTAAGGCGGGGCCTGCAAGGGACAAGCCCCCTTTCTGCTCCAGGTTGAGGCCAATAACACAGTGACCACAGGCACAGCAACCACCGTGGTGGAAATACAGGTGCTGGAGTGGGAGAAGCCCTCCCCCACAGGTGAGTCTCAGCGGGACCCACCCCCGGCGACTGCTCAGCCCAGGTGGTAGCTTCCCTGGGGCAGGCATGCTGGCGGCAGAGGCAAGCCCGAATCCTATCCCTGGCCCCCCAGGTCCCTCAGGCCCCCCAGAGACCCCCACATCGCCAGAGGCTGGAGGAACAACCAGGCCCTCAAGCAGCACCACTTTGGAAGCCCCCAGACCCTCAGGGCCCTCTCAGGGACCCTCTATGACCAGCTCTGGTGGGGGCACTGGTCCACATCCCCCCTCAAGCACAACTTTGAGGTCACTTGCCTCGTCTACACCTGGGGGGCCCCCCAGTGTGGGAACCAGCACCTTCCTCCCATCAGCCTCACCTAGCGGGGGCTCAACACAGACGCTGAAGCCAGGAACCTCTCAGCCGATGCCCCCTGGGCCCAGCAGGACCCCACAGACCTCAGGTAGCACCTCCCATTTGCCCCAGAGTCACCCTTACATTCTCTGACTCATACTCCGGGTGGTCCTGGGATTCACGGTCGGGCAGGGCCCACCCTAGGGTGGCCCAGCCTGACCACACTGACCATGAAATCCCAGGGGGGTTCTGCTCTGGTCTGGACAGAGACAGGTTCTGGGGGCCCCAACAAGGTAACCTGGGGAAGGTGTATGGAGGATGGGGCAGAAGCCAGATTTGGGGTCCAGGGGGCCCTACAATTCTAGGCTGTTCTCTCCATGGGCCCCAGCACTGCCTTCATGGCCCTTCCTATGGTGCTGGACCCCCGCCTTCCACTGGGAGCTGGTGGGCACTGACCCCCATCTCCCCTCCCTTCCTTCAGCAGCCTCCCCAAGGGCCCCTGGGAACACACAGCTCCTCAGCTGGGGGGGGGAGTGGTGACATTCCCCAGAACCTCAGCTCTGGGAGGATACCAGGCCTGGCTTGTTGCCAGGGCGTCCAGAGCCTGGAGCAGGTCGGCAGGGGAAGAGCTTGGGGTGCTAACGGTAAGTGGGTGGTGTGTTGCTGGCAGAGCCGCCCCAGACTGGAGGAGGCAGCACTCCGGGGTACGGCGAGCCGAGCATCAGCCGAGCTGAGGACCGGCGCTTCTCTGTGGTGGACATGGCAGCCCTGGGCGGGGTGCTGGGCGCGCTGCTTCTTCTGGCTCTGATTGCCCTCCTTACCCTCCTCCACAAGCACTACGGCCAGTCGCTCAAGTGTTGCTCCGGAAAAGCTCCGGTGAGGCCCTGGGGGGTTGGGGGGCCAGGACCAGAGAGGGACAGGTGGAGAGGGAGAGGCGGGGGGGGGGGCAGAGGTGAGGAGAGATGGGGTGTAGACATCACAGTCCACAAAATGGGGAGGAGGCCGAAAGAGAAAGGAAGGACTAGCCTGGATCCTTGTCTCTGGGGAAGGCACCAGGGGTGGGGGTCCCAGCCCAGGCTTGGGGTCCTGGTTGATGCCCTGGCTGTCCCTGTCCCCTCCCCAGGATCGCCAGCCCCTCAGCTTTGACAACCAGGCCTTTGTGGCCCCCCAAGAGGACAACTGGGCGCCAGCTCCCCGCTCCTCACCCGGCCCCACCCGGGCTGTGGCCCCGGAGCCCCCGGAGCCCCCCAGCGCCGCGGCCGCGCGCCCTGCCTCAGAGTCCCCCGAGGCGGCCCGCGATGGAGGCGGCCCAGCGGCTGTGAGGTCCATCCTGACCAAGGAACGGCGTCCCGAGGGCGGCTACAAGGCCGTGTGGTTCGGGGAGGACATTGGGGCCGAGGCCGACGTGGTGGTCGTCAACACGCCCGCCTCGGAAGCGGCCCGCGCCGCCGACTCCGGCAGCGAGGTCAGCAGCGACGACGACGCGCCGGGCGCCGGCTCCACCTACGTCTAGCTCGGCTCCCCCCTCCCCCGCGGGCCGGACCTGAGGTCGGCCGGGGCCGCTCGCCCCCGCGCCGCCGCGCACAATAAAGCGACAATTTCCAAGCTCGGCTGCGCGCGAGTCTCCCCGGAGCTGCCGGCCGTGGGAGGGGACGGCGCGGCCCGTCCGCGCCACACTCCCCCGCCCCCCCCCCCCCCGCCCCCGGCCCCCCCCCCCCCCCCCCCCCCCCGTCCCCGGGTCCTCCGCGGCCGCGCCGGGTGCGCGCTGGGACCTCCCCCTGCCCCGGCCTGGAGCGCAGCGCCGTTTCCCGTAAACCACCTGCTGCGCCCGCCGGCGGCGGGGCTTCCCAAGCCAGGGCCAGCTGGCGGCGCAAGTTCCTCTCCCGGCCTAACCACTGCCGCAGGAGGGGGGGCACCCTTCACTGCGGATCCCCCACCTCCCCACCCGACAGGAAGATTCTTGGCCTGGCGGGAACTGAGCAGCCACCTCAGTAACACTCATTTTGGAAAGCAAGTTCAGGGTGACAGCCAGTGCGCCTGTGAGGTCCCGTGGGGGCAGGAAACACCCGGTGCTCGGTGCGAAAAGGCACCCGGCCCTGGCGCCTCTACTGTGACCTGTGGCTTGGTGCAGGGGCTCCCCGGGTGAGGGGAGCTGGGACCAGTGGCTGCGGGCCATGGGCCAGGGTGGCAGGTGGGCCCGGCTGTGAGGGGAACTAGAGCCCCCTCTGCTGGCTTCGTCGGGGCAGGACCGCAGGCAGGACTTCCTGACCCCCACCACACTGTCCCTTCAGAGTCATCGGTGTTTCTCCTAATGAAAAAGCACCACGAATTCCTTTCCAAATGTCTTATTCTCAAGAGTATATGAGTATTCTTGTCTGAACAGTTCTCATTAAGATTCCAAAGGCAGGGCGCCTGGGTGGCTCAGTTGGTTAAGCGACTGCCTTCGGCTCAGGTCGTGATCCTGGAGTCCCGGGATCGAGTCCCACATCGGGCTCCCTGCTCGGCCGGGAGCCTGCTTCTCCCTCTGACCCTCCCCCCTCTCATGCTCTCTCTTTCTCTCTCTCTCTCAAATAAATGAATAAAATCTTAAAAAAAAAAAGATTCCAAAGGCAGCGGGGTGGGGGCGCCTGGTTGGCTCAGTCGGTTACCCGGTGCACTCTCGATTTCTGCTCAGGTCATGATCTCTGGGTCCCGGCATCCAGCTGGGGTAGGGCTCTGCACTCAGCGGGGAGTCCGCTTGGAGACCCTAACCCTCTGCCCCTCCCTTCCCCTCCCGTGCCCACAAGCTCTCTAAATAAAATGAAAATCTTAAAAAAAAAAAAAATCCCAAGGGGGGGCTAGGTGGCTTAGTCTGTCGAGCACCCCACTCTTGATCTCAGCTCCGATCTCGATGGCAAAGACCCAACGGTTGGGCTCCACTCTGGGCGTGGAGCCTACTTAAAAAAAAAAAAAATCCAAACGGTAGGGCCACTTGCCCAACGCCCTCCTCCATGATTCACTTTCCTGGAAAAAAGAAGAGCCGGGTTTTGTGTGAGATCTTCAGCTTACCCCATCTGCCTCCCCCACCCCCGTTAGTTGCCAGAGGCCCCCTGCCCAGTCCCTGCATGTGCGGAGGGTGCTCCTTGAGGGAGAGGAGTGACTGGATCCCGCAGGACCGGCCACTCCTGCCGCTCCTGCACGACCCCCACCCGCACCCAGGAACCTGCGCGGGGGGCCTGGGGAACTCGTCCCTCCCCCCAACACACACCCGAACACGCCGCCAGAGCACGTGACTCCCTCGGCTGCACATGCAGCCCCGCCCCCGGCCCGTCCCCATAAAAGCGCTTGTTCCCAGCCTCTCGGGGAGATGAACCTTAACCGCCCCGGCGGCGCGGCACGCAGGTACTCGGACCCCTGGCCCGCGTGGAGCGCGAGGGCCGTGCAGCGCAGGGCGGGGGTGGGGAGGGCCCGGTCCCGGGAGTCGGGGCAGGATTGGGAAGTGGGGGTCGTACGCTGACCGGCCGCAGGCCGCAGGTCGCGAGCAGCGGAGCCCTCACTTCCCGGTTTAGGGCTTAGGTTTCGCTTTCCCGGCGCGCGCGGTTTCGCTTTCCCGGCGCCCCGGGCACGCCCCAAGCCAGCGGCCGTTCTGGTGGTGTCTCCGCAGGGCCCGGCCAGCGCCCTCCCGCCCGGGTCTGGGTGCTGGCTCAACACCTGTGACTTCACGTGTGTGCGCCCCCACATTTGTGGTCATATCAGCGCCACCGCTGCCCAGAACCCCACACCTCGGCGACGTCGTGGCCATCAGCCCCCAACCACGTCTGTGGTCCCGACACCTCTAACAGCTGGGCCACGCCATCTAAGCTTCCCGCCTGTGCTCACACCTGCCTGCTGGCCGTGACCACCCCTCCCCGCGGAGGGCCTGCCTGCCTCTCCACGCCAGTCCTTTGCAGGGAGCGATGGCCGTGGCTCCTGACAGGTGAGCGCCCATCCCACCCTGCGGCGCGCGGGCACACCGCCTGGCCGCCCGCACCCTGACCCGGCCGGTCGCCCCGCCCGCAGGGGGCCCCCGCGCCTGCTGTTCGGAGACTGGCTTCTGGGGGAGGTCAGCAGCGGCCGCTACGAAGGCCTGCGGTGGCTGGACGCGGCCCGCACACGATTCCGCGTGCCCTGGAAGCACTTCGCGCGGAAGGACCTGGGAGAGGCTGACTCGCGCATCTTCAAGGTGGGACCCCAGCCCAACTGGGTGGGAGGGCCAGCCCAGGCCCTGGCCCGCGTCCCCAAGCTCCACCTTCTATTCCTCTCCCCAGGCCTGGGCTGTGGCCCGCGGGAGGTGGCCGCCCGACAGTGGCGGTGGTGGAGGTGACCAGTTGGCCCTCGAGGGCGCACTCCGCGCCAGCTGGAAAACCAACTTCCGCTGTGCGCTGCGCAGTACGCAGCGCTTTGTGATGCTGCGAGACAACTCGGGGGACCCCACTGACCCACATAAAGTGTATGGGCTCAGCTCCAAGATGGGGTGGAGAGGTGAGGAGCCCCAGGGGAGGGCAGCCGTCTAGGGGGCAGGACGTTCAGGGCAGAGACCCGGTGCTGCCAGACACTGGAGACAGCCTCTGGGGCAGATTTGTGCTTTCAGAAACTGGCCTCCAGGAGGCTGGTGCCAGGTTGCTGGGGAGGGCAGGGAAAGCTGATTTGGCCTGCTGGGATGAATGGCAGGGGACCCCAGCTCCGAGGGCCTACCCAGGGGCACATACCCAAGCGTGCCACTCCAGCGTCTCATCCCACACTCCCCTGATCCCAATTCTCTCTTGGAAGGTGCGGGCACTCCCCAGGGTGAGACCCTGGAAGATACCCTGCCCTTGATGGTAAGACTGTTCTGCCTTCCTTGTTCCCAGGTTGGGGCTGCCACTTCTCATGGGGCTGGGGAGCTGCTTACACCGGCCCTCTCTTCCCCTGCAGGGCGGGCTCCCTAGGCTCGGGCTGAGCCCTGAGCCCTGTGCCCCGAGCCACCTTTCTGGCCCAACTGGCAATGCTGAGGACCTCTTGCTCCAGGCTCTAGAGCAGAGCTGCCTGGAGGACCATCTGCTGGAAGCAGCGTGGGGGGTGGACCCAGTACCCCTAGAGGCTCCTGGTGAGAGGCTGTGTTGGGTGGGGGTGCTCGGCCTTTCAGGGTTCCATGCCAGAGGTCAGGAGCAGTTGGATGGCAGAGTCCCTGTGGAGAGGGTGGGGGGTGGGGGGTGGGGGGTGGGCGTGGGCGTGAGGAGGGAGCCAGCCACAGCTGGGCCAGTACAGCTGTTCACAGCCATCATTCTCCTCAGGCCCGGAGCTCCCCGACATGGAGCCGTCCCTGCCAGGGGCAGTCGAGACAGTCCCCAGGCACCAGGCCCAGGTGACAGGTGAGGAGCCAGGGGTGTGTGGAGGAGGGAGGGGCTGGGGGACCAGGTGCCAGCTCAAGCCTTCCTCCCCAGATGCAGGCCCAGCCCCAGCCCTGGAGCCCTGGCAGCCCCCCCAAGAGGTGGAGCCTTGTACCCCAGGGGCCGGTGAGCAGGTGCTGGTCAGGCCCAGCTGCTTACAGCCCGGATCACAGGCAGAGCCCAGCCTGAGGGCCCTGGATGTGACCATCATGTACAAGGGCCGCACAGTGCTGCAGGAGGTGGTGTGGCATCCAAGCTTCGTGTTCCTGTACGGGCCCCCGAGCCCAGCTGCCACAGCGCCCCAGCATGTGGCCTTCCCGAGCCCGGCCGAGCTCCCTGACCAGAAGCAGCTGCACTACACAGAGAAGCTGTTGCAACACGTGGCCCCTGGCCTGCAGCTGGAGTTGCGGGGGCACGGGCTGTGGGCCCGGCGCCTGGGCAAGTGCAAGGTCTACTGGGAGGTGGGCGGGCCTCTGGGCTCTGCCAGTCCCTCCACAACCCCCCGCCTGCTGCAGAGGAACCAGGACACCCCCATCTTCGACTTCGGCACCTTCTTCCGAGGTCAGTGATGCACCTGACCTGGGGCCGTGCCATCCCTGCCCCCTTCTGTCCTGCCGGGGCCCCGTTCACCAAAGTCCTATCCTGCAGAAATGATGGAGTTCCGGGCACGCCGGCGTCGGGGCTCCCCACACTACACCATCTACCTGGGCTTTGGGCAGGACCTGTCAGCTGGGAGGCCCAAGGAGAAGAGCCTGGTCCTGGTGAAGGTGAGGCCTGCGGTCCTGGGGGCAAGGCCTCATGCAGCCCCTTTGTGGCCTGACAACACCCTCCCCTCCCCACAGCTGGAGCCACGGTTGTGCCGGGCACACCTGGAGTGCGTGCAGCGAGAAGGGGTGTCCTCCCTGGACAGCAGCAGCCTCGGCCTCTGCCTGTCCAGCTCCAACAGCCTCTATGAGGACCTTGAGCACTTCCTCATGGAGGTGGAGCAGCCGGCCTGAAGGCCAGACCCCTCTCCAAGCCAATAAAAAGGACTCAAGAATCCCACTGGCGTCCTGACCAGGGATGGGCTCAGGGTCGGGGCTGGAGCTCAGAAGGGGCACCACAGACTTCCCGGGAGCCCACGAGACCTACAGGCCCAGGAAGGGAGGTGACCACCCCTGCCCCCACCCGCTCTCCTCTGCCTTCACAATGAAGAAACAGGCCACACTCTTTAGAGCCAACAAACTCTACTCAAAGCATACAAAACGCTCTGGGAACAGCAGACGTTTGCTTCTGGCAGCTGTGCTGGGGAGGGGGCGCACCACGAATGGCTGACTCTGTGCTGTGCGCAGGGCCCCTGCCTTCCAGATCCACCAACACTGCGCTCTGCCTCGTGGGAGGCAGCAAACATGAGCATTATTTACAGAGCGTAACGAGAGAAAACTGGGGCAGGGCCTTCCCTTATTCCCATAGAAAAGAAAATCGGGCCATCTGTGAGAAGGGACAAGGAGCTCCTTCCACCCCCCCCAGGCCCCTCCTGATCACCAAAGGCTTTGCCTTTCAAGTACTGAGTCAATCGAGAAGTTTCTAAAGATAATCCATTTTTGATAAATTAGAACACAATGGAAACAGTGTGTATCTATAATATACATATAAAAAAGTCCAGTTTTAAACTGTGAGGACAGGTGCACAGACCACATGTGATCACGGGAACCCTGAATACAGGAGTGCTGGCTGGGTGTCTTCGGAGATTTCTGCTGCTGCCACTCCCAACAGAATCTCTCAGGGACGGGGGCTAGCGCCGCCGGCTCCGTGCCCAGCCTCAGCTCTCGGTGCCCTGGGTGGGCGCCTCTTCACCGGCCTCCGGCCTCCGGTGCCGGCGCATGTGTCTGTACTTGTCCACATAGGCCTTGACCAGGTTGCCCACCTTCACGGGGTTGATCTCCCCGCTCTTGCTGTGGCATATCTGGGGGCGCGGGAGAGGGGCACAGATGACCCAGACGCCTCCCCAGGGATCACAGGGACTGAGCCCGCGGGGTCCCCATCACAGGGCACAAGAGCAGGACAACGCCCAGCCCCGGCGGGGTCCGCCTCGCACAGCTGCTGAGGGCCCGTCTCCCAGCCGGAAACGTGTGGCCGGCGTGCCACACATTTGGCCCTGATGCCCCGGGCTCTTGCTTTCCCACCTGCAAGTGCGGTGTGTTATGTAGCTTCTGTTACTCCCCTGAACAGGGGACAGGGACGCGGTCATGTCCCCTCACAAACACCAACGCTTACTTAGCCCGGGCGTCGACGAGCCGCTGTGACAGGAGGACAGAAGTGGCCTCCGGCTGCAGCCAGGACGTGAGCACGCCGCCCCAGCCCTTGCTGCACAGCCCTAGGCCGGTACCCCGAGAGTCTGGGTCAGCAGGAGGCGGCACGGACCCACCCGCCCGCACCTACCTTCTGCACGGCCTTGCGAAGGATGTCTTTGTACTCCTCCTTGGTCACCTCCCTCTTCTGATAGAAGGGCTTGATGGCCAGCTTCACCTCCTCCACTGCCCGCTCCTGCACGTGCAGCTTCTTCATGTACTGGGGGCGAGCACGTGTGTGACCGCCCTGCCGGGGCCTCACCGCCCGCCCCCGCCGGACGGAGGGCCCACACTCACCTCTTCATTCCTGACCTTCTCTGCGGCAGGCCTGGGAGCCGCCGGCCTCTCCTCAGAGCTGCTGGTGCCAGTGGCACAGCCGGCCGGCTCGGAGGCTGTGGTCAGGGCCGTGGGCACTGGGGCTGGGCTCTGTGCGACCCCGCAGCTCGCCACGGGAAGGCTCCCTTGCAGGATAAGCTGGACCGTGGGCTGGCTGGCTGGTGTGTACGGCGGGAGGCTCACGGGCAGAGCTGGGGCAGGGGGTAGGTTGGGGGTATAAACCTGGACAGAAATGCAGACGGCTCAGGGCAGCGCTCCCCACACCCATAGCAGGAAGAGCCCCAGCCAGAGAGGGAAGTCCTCAGCCCCAGCCCGGCACAGCCTGTGTGGCCCGGCGCCAGCTCACAACCCTCCAGCCCAGGCACTCACCTGAGAGGGCTCAGTGTCAGGGAAGCCGGACTCTGGAAGTGTGTATCCGGGGGGAGGGGGCTCAGAGAAGGATGCCTGCTGGAACCCCACCGAGGGGCCCATGTCTTCTGTTTCCCAGACCCCTTCCCGGGGCTTCTGGGGCCTGTGGAGCGGCGTCCCTGAGGGCCAACACAGGGGAGGTGGGTGCTCTGTGGCCACCCTGGGCCAGAAGACGCTTCCTGGCTGGAAAATTCCAGAAAAGCATCCCAGCAGCAAGGACCACAGGCCAGGCTGCAGCTACCTCCCCGCCCCATGGCCTATGGCCTATGCTGCCCGAGTGACCAAAGAGGTCCATGTGCCACCCCGACACACACACACACACACACACACACACACACACACACACACACACACACACACACACACACACACACACACACACACACACACACACACACACACACACACACACACACACCCTTCCTCCCTTCCTCCCATGCTGCCCCGGTCCACCCCTAGAAGTGCCTGCGGGACCCCACTCACGCAGGCCTCGCTCCTCAGCAGGGGCACCACTCTCGGCCTCCTGGAGGTTCCAGGTGACTCTCTTCACCAGGGCTTTAGCCCGCAGCAAGGGGGTCTGAGAGGGGCCTTCCTCCTTCCCCACGGGCACCCCGCCCACAGTCTGGCTCCCCAGGGTGCTGGGCACCACGGCAGCCCCACCAGCATCCTGCTGGAGCAGGGGCTTCTCTTCGGGGCTCTGTGCCCGGGGCGGGGGCTGTGCAGCATCTTCGCCATGGATCAGCGACACCTCCCGTCTGATGACAGCCATGGCCAGGCTGGTGTCCTGCTGCTGGCTGGCCGGGGGCACGGAAGGAGTGGGTGGGAAGTGCCGCTCCGGGGAGGAGTCTGTGCTCTCTGGGGAGGGTGGGGAACTCATGTCATCCAGCTGCATGAAGAAAGCTTCGCTTGAAAAATCCTCAAAGATGTGCCCTGCCTCCACAGAGTCACCGTAATCCAGGTCCTCAGGCAGACACTCAGCCAGTACCTCTGGAACGGTCTTGTGGGCTTCGGCCCCTGCTGGGCAGGCGTCTGCTCCCACTGAGGCCAGTGGCCTGGCTGGCTGCTCCCTGTCGGGCTTCTGCCCTTCCACGGGAGCGGGTGCCAACTTCCTCTCTGGGGAGCGAGGCCTTGGCCGCTTCTCATGGGAACGAGGGCGCTGGTGCTCCCGGGACCTATGCTCTGTGCTTGGCGACCTCGGTGACCTGGACCTACGCTTCCTCCTCTCATGGGAGCCCCACCTGGTTCGCGGCCGCTCCCGGCTCCTCTCCCGTGGGCTCCTCTCCCGCGGGTGCCGGTGCCTCCGGGCTCTCTCCAGGCTGCTGGGGGGTGAGCACTCCCTCCCCCGAGACCTGGACCCTGCCCGCCTCCGCTTCCTCCTCCTGCTCTCCCTATGTTCGTGGGAGGAGCTGCTGGGGCTGCCTGAGCGGGACCTGGACCTCCGCCGGCCACGGCCCCAGGACTCCCTCTCCCTCCTCCTGCCCTCGTCCTTCGCCTTCTTCCGCTTGGCTCGCTCGTGGCCGCTGGAGTGGTCGCTGGAAGACCTCCGGCCCCGGGACTTGGTCTGCTGCCTCTTGGGGTGGTCCTCACCCAGCGGTGGCGACACCGATGGTGAGCTCCTGTCCCCGGAGCGGGAACCTGAGCGGGAGCCTGAGCGGGTCCTCCTGTGCTCCCTGGCAGTGGCCCGCTTCCTCTTGGCTTTCTTCCTGCCACGGGAGCTGGATGTGGAGCGGGAGCAGGAAGGGGACCTCAGTTCCACAATCCTGTGGGTGGTCGTCTGCGGTGCGTCCGGGCTGGGTGGGGTCTCTGGCTCGGCTACAGTCACACAGGTCACCGTCCGCTCCTCGGAGCCAAAGAAGGTACTGCAGGGCAGCTGGTCCTTGTCTTCCCACTGCTCCGGTGGGGGTGGCCTCTGTGCCCGGGAGGCCGAGCCCTGGCCCTCGGCAGCCCCCTTGCCCAGCCGCTCGCACTCAAGGTCGGAGGCCCCCTCAGCAGCCCCCTCGCCCCGGAGCTCGAGCCCGCTGGAGGAAGGCCCCCGAGGGGGCTCGGGCTCCGTCCCAAAGACAGTCTCCACTGTGTAGGAGGTGACACAGCGCACAGTCTGCAACGTTGGGGCCTTCGGGCTGTTGATGGAGATGGTGCGTGTGATCTCAGAGGGCAGGAGGCCAGAGCCCAGGCGCTCGGGGCTGCTGCCAGCAGAACTGGAGTCGGAGCCTGTGGGGTCAAAGGGGTCGTAGATCTCACTCTTGAGTTGTTTGGTCTTCCTGATGGAGAACAGGGGCGAGGGGTTCTCTTTCCTTTGCACCTTATTGTCGACAGGCCGAAATGTGTTACAAAAGCCAGGGTTGGAGAGTCTGCCAGAATGTGCCGTGTTCCCGGGAATATTGATCCTGAAGCTCTCAAAGGTCGAGCTGACACCCTTCCCCTTCGAGGGTCCCAGCGAGGCAGGGGACTGGGAGCCACCCCCTGAGTGCGGGCCAGGCTCTTGCGGGCCCCTGCTGCTGGGTTCGCCCTCTGCTCGGGCACCATGGCCAGGCTGCCCGGGGCCCTCTCTGCCTGTGAGCCGGCTGATGCAGGAGCTAGGGATCTCAACATGCTGCTCGCTGGGAGGGGCCACATCCACCTGTCTGTCGCCGCTGTCCTCCCTTCTGACCTTTGGTATCCTTGGTAGCTCAGAGATGTCGGGCCTCCTGGGAACTGGCTTCAGGGCCTGGCCCAGCAGTGCACCAGCAGATGGCAAGTGAGAGCAGCTACCGGAGGTCTTCAAGGACGCAGAGTTGGGGGGCAGAGTGTGCCGGTTGTCGCCATCACATTGGGGCTTGTCCCTTTGCTTTAAGCCAGGCCCACGCACACCTGTCAGGTTCTGAGTCTGACCGGAAGGAGGGGTCACCGACGAGTCCAGTCTCACAGTCGCCCCTGTCCTGAGTGCGGGGACACGGGAGGGCGCCACCGCGCCAGGACAGCTCAGCCC